TATACTGATCTATAGAGATGTCTGTACTCTATATCTCTGTATCTGTAGAGTAGGGAGGGTGACTGTAGGCCCACAGCACTCGGACCACATGTGACCAATTGTACATCCTCTCGAGGAGTTGTTCTCTTAGTTCAACGTCCATCCTGTCCTTTCTAGGAAGGTGGACAGGTCACTAGGAGACATCTCCTTTATATCGGCAGGTGTAGGCTAAGACTCGCCGAATGCACACTCTCTTAATAACGATAACTCCGGGCCCTTGCATAAGACATACCTGAAAGTTTCATCTTCCTGTTCAAACGTACTGCATATAGGTGTCTCCACTAGTCCCATAATGTGACCAGTCAGAAATCCTACTGTTAAGCGTAGGTTTTTGCTGGTCATCGCCAGATATTTCTTAAGTGGCAGCTTCCCAGGGTCGCCCAAGGTGATCCTGACAAGACTGCGTCTTTTGATTCCATTCCATCCCTTTAGGGATTGAGCATGGGTGTGAAGTTTGGCTAGTTCCGCAATTGTCGAAGACATCAGGCCGTAGATGTCACTAGGTCCTAAAATTCTCAGTCCGACCGCTCCTTGGCTAAAGAATCCCCAATGCGATTACCTTCACTCCTGTCATGAACCCACCTCAGGATAATGTTATTCTCTACCGAGGTTTTGACTAACTCTTGGTGGCACTCTAGTACTAGTCCTGAGGTAACACGTTGTCTGTTCAAGACTAATAGGACTTGTCTACTATCACTGCAGATTGTTTTGTTTTTGCCAGAAATTCCTTTCCTGGTTATTTCTCTTGTGGCGTTTGAGATACCAGCCAGTTCTGTTTGAATCACGCTGGTAATTTTCCCATTCCCATTTAATCCTTAGGCTTAGTTATCTGGAGTAAACTCCACATCCTGAGCCTTCTTTGGTTTTTGAGCCGTCTGTATATATTCGTATTGCATTTGTAGCATCTGGATCTAGGTTCAATTGCATCACTAGCTGCCTGCAGCAGAGGTTGCGCAGTAAGCGCTTCTCGCCATACGCTTAGCCTCAATTAACCCATTTCTACTTCGAGGTTCACACCAGCCGTGCGCAATCGTAACATGGCCATTAACGCAACTTCCTTAACGTAAAAGTCCAAAGGGGTTAGACCATTGATTAATTCCAGTGCTGCGATTGGTGTTGTTCTCATGGTTTCTGTGATGTTTAAAGAAGCCAATCGCTGTATTTGATATAATTTTTGGATGACCGTTGCTTGTAGAACTTTCGGTCCCCATAAAATGGCTCCGTAAGTTATTGCAGTGTAGATCCAGGTCACCACACGGGGTGACAGACCCCCATATGCGCCCCAGTGTCCTCCGACATTGCTCATGAGCCACATTTGTTTTTTTTGCTCTATTCTGTAGGTGAGAGTTCCACGTTAGCTTCCTGTCGAGGTTAGTACCAAGGTATTACACCTCTTCAGAGAAGTTTAGTTTGCTTTTGCAGATTTCGGGAGGTTTTAAGTCTGATAAACTTCTTTTCCTGGTGAAAAAGACCATCTTAGTCTTCTTAGGATTGATCAACAGTGAATGTTCCTTACAATTTGTTTCTATTGATTTGAGCCCATCCTGTGCTCTATCGCACAGCGTGTTCACAAATTTGCCGGTCTGCAAGATAACTATGTCATCTGCATATGCAATTGTTTAGAATCCATTATTGTTGAGGTGATAATTCAGGGTATCCAGAACTGTATTCCAAAGAAGGGGTGATAAGACCCCTCCCTGACTGTGATGTCTTCTACATTGATACTTATTGCTCTACTAGAGAGCATCTTGAGTATCCATTCTTCAACTACCAGGGGTACATTTCTGTAGTTTAGTTGCTAAGTAATTATTGGAAAAGTTGTTTTATCAAACTCTCCATCGATATCTATGAATATACCCAGGGTGGATTCTTTGTTCAATGATCTTTCGATTCTGCCAACTACATGGTGAAGGTCTGAATCAGTAGACCAGTTGTAGAGTATATGCATGCTGATTTGGATGAAGTGGGTTGTGAACTAGTTCTTCATCTCAAATGTAACGCTCACAAAGCCTCTTCATAGTTTTCCAAAAGAACGATGTGAAACTAATTAGTCGGAATTGGTGAGGTGTGGTCCATCCTATGTGGTTTGTGTAAAAATATCACTCGTACTTTTCTCCACTTGGTAATATACCTCATAGCTAAAGAGGCTCTGAATATTCCAACCAGGTGCGGCATAAGAATATCCAGTCCCCATTGAAGTAGGGCTGATCTTATAGCGTCAGGTCCTGGTGACTTGAAGGAGGAAAAGCCCGATATGGCCCATCTTGTCTTGTCCTCATCAATTACTTCATTAGCAGGTTGCAAGTCGTATTGTGAGGGTGTTATTGGTACTTTTGTCCAGTTCGTCGTTCCAAGAAAGGCAGAACCTGGGAAGTGAGTTTCCATAGAAATCTCAGCGCTGTATATATAGTACCCTCTATATTGATGCTGTTCATTTTTTCCAAATTTTAGTGTTTTGCCTCTTTTCAGCTTATTACTATATGATGTCGTTAAGCGACTTTCGGACAATTTTTCTCTACGAATCAAATTCGAACCAAAGCGCTATCAAACGCGCCTGAAAAATTAACCAGGAGTTTGGCAAAGATAGTGTCAATGAACGCACTGTTTGACGTTGGTTCACGAAATTTCGTTCCGGAGAAATGGTCGACCTACCTACAGTAATCCACGATGCGTGGGATGGCGAAATAACTGGACATCAGTTCTCAAGCGTTTTTTATGGTTTAAAGCGTATTGGAAAGGTGAAATAGTTCGAAAAGTAAGTGCCCTACGATTTGAACGATCGACAAAAATTATCACGTTTCGGGGTCTGTTTTTCTTTGCTTTTGCGCAACCAAAACGATCCGTTTTTAGATCAGATCATCACATTTGATGAGAAGTGGATCCTCTATGATAACAGGAGACGTTCATGACATTGGTTGGACACCGATGAGCCACTCAGGTACTTACTATGATACCAGTTTTGAAAGTAGATTGGTATCATAAACCAAGTTATCCTGAGATATTTCTAAATAATTTTTCGAAACATAACTTTCAGAGTATAATCAAGATTATGAAGAATTTTAAATCAAGAGCAATGCCATTTCCAATTCTGAATTCCATAACAAAAATCTGCAACTAATTGAGAATTATCTAGAAAAAAATTATTTTTCTAAAGCCCCTATAAGAAAAATAAATAAAGAAAAAACTTCCTCTTCCCAAAATACATATGTGAAACCCAATTATGACAAAATTTCATTTGTAGAAAATGTATCTGATAAACTTGGAATGCTACTCAGTACCAAACAAGTTGAAGTGGCCTTTTCAAATGAAGATAGAGTTGGAAAGCATTTCTTCTCGGAAAAAAAAAACAAAAACACCACAAGAGTAGTGTACACAAGAATAGTGTACACCAATATAGCGTACAAATTGAAGCTGTCACAAATGCTATGTTGGTCAAACCGGATGTTATCTTAAAACATGTTTCAGAAGGTACGAGACACTCTGACAAACTGAATATAAAAAGCCCACAACCCTCATTGAACATGAAGAAGAATATGGACACATTTTTTATTTTGATTATCCAAACATAACCAACCTTTCTTCTGAAAAATCATTAGATCACTAAACTAGTTAACTGTTTATTCAAATTTTGTTTCTATGTTCGCTAAAAGTCCAAAATAGCCCATTTGGAAGAAAATTTTGGTGGAGTGAATGAATTTCTTTCAGTGGCACATACAGTAATAAGTGAGGTTCTGAAATGAGAAGAATTATTTAGCGGTGAAGATTTCAACAGTGAAAAATCCTCATGTTAACTCGATTTACTCATAAATTTCGACAAAGTTAGATTCAACTCAAAACGAAAAACAAAATTGGAAAATATAAAGATCATGATCATGAAAAATCGAAAGTGAATGAAACCACCGTATAGAAGACTTATGTACGGTGATAAAACATTTATTCGGGTGCGCACAATCTCAAATGGCATAATCTCAATTGCCAATTTCAACAAATCAAAAATCTTGAAAAACGGCCTTGCCATTTTTGAGTTATGAATAATGTTTTCAATTTTGTTTTATTAATCAGAATATGAAGTATATTTGATAAAATAATTTTTTACAATTCCATCAATTGTGAAATATATGGAAGCATTCGAAAAATCCCATGTAAATACTCATTTAAAAAAAACTGTTACAAATCATATTTATTTATATGTCATGCTGTATCAGCTATGTTTTGTAGTTTCCCACCATAACATTAAATTTCTCAACATTTAATTTAAAAGGGTTATATTTTTAGGAGTAACTAATTTTTGGGAAAGTTTTGTCTTTTTACTACTTCATGTTGATACAGAAAAAAGTGGGAATCTTCCAAAGAAAGGAAGGAAGTAATCATTTTTAAAGGAAGTAAATTTATACATAGATGTGTACATCATGCAAAGTAGTAACTTTCAGACACAAATTGGAAGATAAAGCCTTCTTTTGAAACAAATACTTTTATATTTATATTCGCTATGGAACTAAACAGATATCATTCACAGTTAACAAAAGTCAATGCACGTTAAAATATTGAGTAAAACCCTTTCAAAAGCCTCTCCGAAGATCGATAACTGATAACTAACTTTCAAATGCAATTTCAGAAGAAATCAACCGCATCGTGAAAATTCTGATTGAGAATCTAATAGTCTTTCATCTTAGAAACCCAGTGAATCGACTGTTATCTCATTATCATGTAATGAAGAAATCTGAACTCGTGCTAAACTCGTCGCATTTATTACTATGAATTATGAAATAATCCTCAGGTGAGACAGACAGATACGACGAACGCCGACATGAAGCTATCATCAACAGATGTCCAGATATTGATTGGGACTAACATGATAATATAAACTGACGGAGACAATCAGACAGGTAGTCAGGTTAGATGTTTCTATAATTATTTTATTATAGTCGACAAGGTAGTGTGATAATCTGAAATAAAACATCAAAACTTGAAAATATATTTTGTGATATCTATTTTAAAAATTTCTATTTCTACTGCGTGCGTTAATCAAAGTTTCCAAATTAAGCATTTGTTTCCCATATCTGTCCCTGTATAAATTCTCATTTGTATCATCTATTTCATTCAAATCACTTGAATCATCTGTCGAATCTGAAGTCGAATCCAAAGCAGTTGTCAGTGAATGACCGTCGTTGTTATTTTCAGCATCTTCCCTCGATTGATTCAGTTCAGGAAACAGGAATGACAAGGAAGTTTGGGCTCCTCCACCAGTGGAATTTGGAATAATATCGTGAAGCCAATGACCAATTCTCAGAGCAAGATTCATGAAATTTTTCAGTAAAGTCAAGTTTTCATTGGTATAAAGCGATGCTATGAACCTTACCGATCGCACCTTCAAGTCTAGAAGTTCGGTAATGTACTGAATAGCATTGGATATCCAGTCAACGATCAAATTAGATATTGCTGAGATTGAAGAAGATTCTACTTCGGCCAGATCTGTTATGTTCGAGTCTGAAATACGTCTATATCCTTCTGCGAATCTAGTCGCGATCATGCAAATCTGTAAAAAAACAATACATGATAATAGTTTCAATACAGTTATATTCATGTGAATGATAGTCTGTTATTGAATCATGATGCTGATTTATACAGGTCGCTCCAAATCATGACGTCAAAAAAATAAAATTAGATTCTTGACATCTATTGCATCCAGGATTGTTTAAAAATACCCCATATATGATATAATCCAATTCCCTGTAGGCACAATACCCAAGGCCTTAACAAATACCTAATCTTCCAAAGGCGTTTTTGCTAACGAGCATGAACAAGATCTTCATCATATTTCCAGATACAAAAATGCATCATTTTCTAATTTTACTAAATTCATCTTTTAGCGTGATTCTTAAATTATGGAAAATGAAAAATAAAACTTCATATGTTTTTATACCACTTGTATTTGNATAAAAAATTCAATGTCATCGAATATTTTTTTGATGGAAACGGTTTTTTTTTATTTCGAACTGGTTTAAAAAACTATCATGTTCACCCAATTTCATCTTTCTATCCCATTTTGCCCGTAACGTAACATCAAAACAAAATATTATCCGAGAACATAATTGACTTTAAATTGAAGGGGAAATATTTTTCAGGAGGGTTACTAAGCTTTTTGGCTTTCTACCCCTCCATCTCTTTTTTTTTCCTAAGTTTCACACATTTTTTGTATAAAAATGGAGGAAAGGAAAAACAAAAAAGCTTTTTCCATTATTCAATTCATGAAATGGAACTTTTTGAAATGGAACAATATGAATTTAAAGAATTCATTCGTCCACACTCTAAATCATTAATGTATATTATTTTTGACAGAGAAGCTAAGTAAAAAATATTTTCAATTATGCAAGTCTTGTTTTGGTAAAAGAAGTTTTGCACATTTATTTGATGTTGACGTATTCAAATATAATACAAGTATGATAATAACAAAATGAATTGCCTAACTCGTTACTTGATGAAAATCAATTGAATAATTGAACAATTTTCCAAACATTTTTTATTTCTAGACGCGTTTCGTAAACACCGTAGCTTCCTTGTGAAAATTATTAAATTTTCATCATGTATAATAATGTTCTTCTGAATAACATCATCAAGTATGGGGCAGAATATTTTTTAAAGTCATATATTACTACAAATCAAATACCAGAAAAAGGAATGGGTTAACAAGTTACAAATAAATATCTCATGATATTATCCCTATTCAACTAAAATGCATATTTCTAAATGAAAAATAAGCACATTGTTTTTCTTGTAAACGAAACGTGAGGTTTCAGGCTGCTTTTTTCATTTATTATTTGTAAATCCGTTGATAACATTCAAATTTTTTGAAGTCAATGAGTAATTGATATACCAGTCATGCTACTAAATCAATTCCGAACCGAAACCGTCAATTATGGCTAGTGATGAAACATAATGACAATTGTCAGTACCTGACAAGAGATTTGGAAGTAATTTTGAATATTCCACTATTACAAGTGTCTATAGTGAAGAAATAGAAGTTTGTGTCTACGTAATTCATTAGAAAACAAACAAAAATCAAGTGATCTGGACAAATATATAGGAATCGTTACTAGAAGCTTCAACAATTCATTTTATAACTAGAGTGTTGAACTCAGATTTGTTTTGGAGCCACTTCCGAAATTTATTTTTCATTGATATTATTACAGAAGTACGCAGCAATGAGAAGTTACCGAACAATATTTGAGTTTATTGTATAAAGGAGAAATTAATCTCAAATTAAAATCATCAGCAATGAGAAGTTACCGAACAATATTTGGGTTTATTGTATAAAGGAGACATTAATCTGAAATTAAAATCATCAGCAATGAGAAGTTACCGAACAATATTTGGGTTTATTGTATAAAGGAGAAATTAATCTGAAATTAAAATCATAATACTCATATTTGCGTATCTATTTTGACAAATCGATCCAATAATAGAACAAAGAATTATATAACAATTTTTGACGAAAGTGGATGATTGAAAAAGTGGACTTACCAGAATGAACTTGAAAATACCCATTTTCACTAACTCATTCAGTTGACTCTCGACTGTTGAGAACAAGACTGGGTCTCAAATAAGTCAAGATTCAGTTTTCAAGTAGTTTATAAGTCATCATTTGTTTAATGAGGTTCCCCAAAACTATTAGTAAAGTTATAGAATTTAGACAAAACACGTAGTTGACATGGTATTTTTGGTTATTAGTTTCACCTTTTGAATCGATTACAGCTGTCGCGTACTTCTGAAATGGTATTTTAATTCGATTTTATTCATAGAGTCATTTTGGAACGAAAATTCTCAGAAACTGAAAAGAAAACTTCGTACCTACTATAAATTTTTGTGAGAAATATATCAAAATGAATATATAAATGAAATTCAATACAGTGTCATCCCCAAAGTATTTACCATATGGGAATCTTATTTATTAAGGGTTTTTCGGCAAAATGTTATTCTTGATAAAAGTTTGTGCAATATCTAAAACTAAACATGCATCAACGAAATACATACGAGAAGCCTTCAAATATTTGATTTTGAGACAAGAGTAAAGTACTCTTATTTTGAAAAATCTCGGAAAATGTTATTTGAAAGAAGTTGTTCAGCATTAAAAAATACATCTACATTTGAAGTGATATGGACATCTGAGCGATGTTTTATTTTTTTACCCATTTTTTTCAAAAAGGTACTACGAAAAAAAATTTGCTAAACGAGAAATAGACAGCATCCTTTATATAACGGTTTATTTTGAAAACCTGTAATATTACGAATTACACAACTATGGTGTTAAACACGGTCAATTTTTTTGAAGAGTAAAATAATTTTCAAATATTTTGGTGCAAAGTTAATTTTATTTTTTGTTAACACCGAAAATTATTCAAAATTTTACTGTGTCGTAACAATAACTTAATATTCAATAATATCAAATCACAAAACATCAAAATAAAATAGGTATTTCGGAACAAATTCATTGATTTTCTGGAGATTTTCTTCTCCAAAATAATTCTCCAAAATAATCTCGAGAAAACCAATGACTTAATAAAATAATATTGTAAGTATGTAACCAAATTCTATGAGAGAGAAGACGCGGGCAACAGCTAGTATTATATATTTTACAAAACTTAAGTAGCAATATCCAACCAAGTAGCTACTTTATCAGGGAATTCTAATTCAATCATTTTTCTGTGTAGCGGTCACATATTTCTATTAATATTTTTTGTCACCACTGGAATACAATTGAGCCCCCCCCCTCCCAAGAAGATGTCGGAAAGTGTTTGTTTCATATATTTTCAATTATTTCCAGTAAATATCTCAAATCAGTGTTAGTTTCGAATATATTTCCATTGACAACTCTGAAAACGTCAAAAATGTTCATCTTCAAAATTTTAACATACCATCCTCCCGAAAAAGGTAACGAAACGTCTATGTATATGTGTAAAACACATATGAAAAAGAAAGAAAAATTGAAAATTCTAGCATCTAACTTTTCTTCTCAGTTTTGAAACTAGTGTTTTCAATTCATTATCTTTTGTCTCACTGATACCGCCCTTATTCTACTTCTGGAAAGATATTTTCTACTTTTCTTAGTTTCCAGTAAATTCAGGTGAAAGCCTTCCTTCAAGCACAACATCATTTATTGGAATAGGTCTTTCGGTAACTGCACATTTACTTCTACCTATTGCTTACATTTGGCAAGTATTCTTTGATCCAAAACGGTCATAGATTATTTGTCACCTGTTATACTTTTTCTATCGCTTTTCCAAGTCGTATTTGATACTTGTGAAAAAAAAATAGTTTTGATTTCTTTCAAATAATTTCAGAATGGAATGAATATCGATGAAGTATTCATAAATGCTAACTGCGCCATGACGTGTAAACCTCCGACGTGATGAATGTCTTCTAATCATATCAATCTAATCATAAATAAATAGGAAGCTCACGGTAAATACCAACTAACCAGAAACCCTATTGATTACACAATTTTTTCTGACTTGATACAATACTGCAAATCGATTGTTATTCTTTTTGCCGATCATTCTGGCAACACTTATAATTACATATAATTAGATATTGTGAACCATTTGCCACACACTCATTGGTGATATAGTGAACATTCAATTACCTTCTGTTTTGGTAAAATTTTCGGAGGAATCTCTAAACTCAAGGACAAGCTGAGCCTGGTCCTGACGGTATTCCATCTTACTTCTTGAAACGATGTTTATTTACTTTATGTTCACCAATTCAACTTTTGTTTGATTTGTCCTTGACAGCAGAGCAATATCCTGAAATTTGAAAAACTAGCTATGAAATACCTATTTTCAAAATTGGCGCAAAAATCATTCAAAATTATAGACCAATAAGTATGCTCTCAGTGGTTTCCATTTGTTTTGAATCGTTACTAACACCCATACTTACTTGGCATCGCAAGAATCTAGTCATTGATGGATCAGTCATTGATCAGCAACATGGTTTCACAGCTGGGAGAGTTACCGACTTCCTAGTATATCAAAATTTTGAATCAGCCCTAGAAATTGATGCAATCTATTCTGATTTTAGTAAAGTGTTTGATCGTATTATACATAATTCATTGGTAGAGAAGTCGTTCTTGTTAGGTTTTCCCAGTTTTATTACTCACTGAATGAGCGACTACTCAAGAACAGATCATAGGAGGTCGAAATTAAAAAGTTTGAATCAGAACGAATCTAGATACTTTCTGGAGTTCCTCAGGGATTTCATTTGGGACTCCTACTGATTACCCTGTTTATAAACGATATTGGCAATTCAATTCTTTGCTGTAAATTCTTGCTGTTTGCTGATGACCTAAAGCTATATTTGCATATCGAAAGTATTGAAGATTGTTATGAGATACAAGATGCTATCAATTCCCTTGGTCTGAAAACAATGAAATGTCAAAAATGCCTCTATATAACATTTGCTAGAATAATTAATAAAATTCAACCATGTTCTAGACGATATCAATCTGAATCGCCTCAATGAAACAAGAGATTTGTATATAATCTTTGATGTGAACCTTTCATTCACCACCCACATCAACACATCCATCAATAAAGCTCTTAAACTTCCTGGTTTTGTCTTCTGAAGTTATAAGGATCTACCAATATATATAATATTGCAGCAGTTCAAAATAGATTCCTCAGACTTGTTGCCTTCAAATCTGGCTTCAGATTTGGACAATATGATTATTCGGATAAACTTGATATTGCGAACCTTCAAACCCTTTTTTTCGTAGAACAAACACCGATATCACTACCTTATTCAAAATTATATCAGATGACATTAATTGTGAAGATCTATTAAGTGAAGTCTCATTCCGAGTACGTGTTCGTTCAACTAGAAACAATGGTTTTTCACTATCCCTAATCACTATGGATACTTCTCAATGAACAAACATCAGCGGAGTTATTTTACTAAAAAGCTACAGAAGTTGCGGCGGCTTTAGTCGGTTACAACATATCTGATGCAGAATAATCCTATCATCGATAAGTCTAATAAGTAAAAACTAATTTATACAGTGTGTCTCACTTCTCATGGAAAAACCCCCTTATCTTCCGTAATATTCGAGGTAGAACGATGAAACTCTCAGGACTGATAGAAATGTTCAAAATGCACCTACCACCTGAATGGGGTTGGCCAAAGTGATATACACTGTCCGCCACTCGCGATGGAACACCCCATTTTTAGGTAAAACATATTACGGCGCAAAATAGTTCGCTTCCAATACCTGAACCCCTTCATTCTATCTGGAGAGTACTCTCAGGTATGAAAGATACAGATTTTGAATGGAGAGGTGAATCGGCAAAATTGTCGATATTGGAGTGATACGAATCCTCATTTATACCGTCAAGTTCATACCCAACGACCTCAAAAACTAAATGCTTGGGCAGGAATTTTAGGTGACCACATCATAGGACTTTTTTCATCGATGATGATTTGAATAGTGATAAATATTTCGATATGTTGGAGAATTGAATAATACCATGCATCAAAAGGGCAATTGAGGAGGATATAAATTTATTCGAAAACGAAATAGTTTTTCAGCAGGATGGTGCACCTCCTCATTATGCAGCTACAGTGCGGCAATTTTTGGATGATCATTTTCCTGGTCGCTGGATTGACAGAAGAGGTCCTACAGAAAGGCCACCAAGGTCTCCGGATCTCAGTCCTGTAGATTTCTTTCTATGGGGTTATTTGAATTCAAAAGTGTATAAGATAGAATCAACAACATCAGAAGATTTGAGAGAGAATATCATGAGACATTGCAGAGAAATAACTCCCGGGATTCTCAACCATGTGAGGGCGGCAATGGAAGCTCGTTTGTACCATTGTATGGAAGTTGGTAGAAACGTTTTTGAACATTTACTATAAAAATTTGTTTCTTCTCATTGTCCAGTCATCAATATTGTTTGACTTCAAAACAATAATTTTTTCTTAACTTGTGATTTCGTTGGTGAGATATTGATAGACACTTCTAACTACTAGTTGATTACATTCCTCAAAAGGTCGAAGTATCACTGTATTTGATCTTTCTAGTAAGGTGCGCCAAATTTATATGCTGCTCGTGATGTTTGCCCCACCGAACATTTGTTTTTCTCTCTGGGATACATAACTCCTGGGGAAAGATAAATTTAGAAATTAAATTACATGTATGTACCTGCATTTTCGAACGAATACCATTGTTTGATTTTGCAACTCGCATAAAACTATCATTAAAATAATTTTGAGAAAATAACACGTCATTATAATTTATCTCATAAGCAATCGAGTATAGAAGAAGAAAACATGATATTAATAAAGACTTACGTAGCAGTTGCTCCTATGTAGGCCAAAAAACGTGGTATAGCGTGTCTGTAGGTACTTCTGGACAGATTGTTTTTTTGGTTCCCTCTAATTGTACATGAAAGGTGAGAACATTTGATTAAATAAAAAAGTGAAAATGTATAAGATTTGAAACAATAAATGATGATGATGCTCGTTTCTATAGATGAAAAATGTGTTACAAAAACAATGAACGTATAGAAGATTGAAAAGTATTATAACATTCCTGTGGATTGTGTTTTTGATTCTAAATTAAGCAAGGAAATAAAAATTATGGTGTTGGTCATAAAATATTCATGTATTAGGTTATTCCAAAAGTTTTGTCCATTTTGATGTCATGTGTTTTTCTAGCTCCATATCTCAATAAATATTCATTCTACTGTGTCGTTTTTTTAAAGGTCAGAGCAGTGCCTGTGCGAAAGTAGCGATTCACATAGGATTTGAATCGCTGGAGATTATTTGGAAAAACGTTCTCAGGAAGTTTATTCCACATTAACGCAGCTCTCCAAATGAAAGAGTTCTTGAACAGTGAAGTTCGAGGTGTACTGAGTAGAACCTCAAAACGATGAGCAGCCACAGTCCGTCGCGTATTTCTGATATGTACCGCTCTTGGTGGAATCAAATGTACCAAATCACTTCAACACTTCCCGTAAAAGTATGTATAGAAGAGAGACAAATCTCCAACCTTTCTTCGATGTTCCAGGCTATCAAGGTTGCAAGTAATGTTCGCGTCTCCAATCAGGCGGATGGCTCTTTTCTGGGTATGTTTCAGGGTATGTTTGGGGGCAGAGCTCCATACATAAGAACAATACTCCAAAGAAAGTCTGATCTGAACTTTATGAAGCATCAAAAGTTGCTGAGGTGTGTATAGTTTTTTGGTTCGGAACAGTGTTCCAAGCTTTTGAGAAGCAGCCTTTGCAATTCCAGCGACATGGTGTCCATATATCTTGGCCATATATCTGTTCACTTTCACCCCAATTCGAAATCACTTCTAGATCCTTATTAAGATATGCAACCTCCAGCTGCCGGTGAAGATGTGTCTCCGTAGCCGAAGTCGTGGAATCCAAATTGAATGACGAGACAAGTGTGCTGTCGACAGCAAAGCAATATATTGGATTCTTGTTTTTTTTCAATAAGTGGTTGATATACAATAAACAAAAAGGTTGGAGACAATATGGATCCCTGGGAAACACCAGCGTTGATGGTGAAAGTATTCGAGAGATATCCATCGACGGCCACTTCCAGGGAACGTTCTTTCAGGTATAGTATTTCCAATACCAATTGGAACGGCACAGAGAAGGAATTTCCGCCTCGACATAGGCGTCGGCATATTATTTTTCAGTGGTAGTTTTTCTTATAAATCCGTATTGCATTTGTATCATCTGACTCTATGTTCTGCTCAATTTTATTTTGTAGGGTTTATTAAACACAAACCCGGGTTCAATTGCATCGCTTGTTGCCTGCAGCAGAGGTTGCGCAGTAAGCGCTTCCCGCCACAGGCTCAGCCTCAATTAACCCATTCCTACTTCGAGGTTTACACCAGCTGTGCGCAATCGTACCATGGCCATTAACGCAACCTCCTTAACGTACAGATCAAGAGGGGTCAGACCCGTGATTAATTCCACTGCTGCGGTTGGTGTTATTCTCATGGCTCCTGTGATGTTTAAACAAGCCAGTCGCTGTATTCGGTATAATTTTTGGATGGCCGTTGCTTGTAGAACTTTCGGTCCCCATGCAATGGATACATACGTTAACATAGGTCTTATTATTGCAGTGTAGATCCAGGTGACCACAGGGGGTGAAAGACCCCATGCGCGTCCTACTGTCCTCCGACATTGCTCATTAGCCACGTATGCTATTTTTGCTTTACTCTGTAGATGAGAGTTCCATGTTAGCTTTCTGTCGAGGATAATACCAAGGTATTTTACCTCTTCAGAAAATTATAGTTTGCTTTTGAAAACTTCGGGTGGTTTTAAGCCCGTTAAACTTCTTTTCCATGTGAAAATGACCATCACATTCTTCTTTTGATTTATCGACAGTGAGTGTTCCTTACACCATGTTTCTATTAATTTGAGCCCATCCTGCGCTCTATCGCACAGTGTGTTTACAAATTTGCCGGTCTATGTCATCTGCGTATGCAATTGTGTAGAATCCATTTTTGTTGAGGTGATTAATTAGGGTGTCCAGAACTATGTTGCTGAGAAGGAGTGATATGACCCCTCCCTGTGGACATCCCTTCTTGACCAGTCTTTTCACTGTGATGTCTTCTACATTAACACTTATTGCTCTACTAGAGAGCATCTTGAGTATCCATTCTCCTACTACCAGAGGTACATTCCTGGAGTGTAGTTGCTGGGTAATTGTTGGAAAGGTTGTTTTATCAAACGCTCCCTCGATATCTATGAATATACCCGGGGTGGATTCTTTGTTGTCCAATGATCTCTCGATTCTGTCAACCACATGGTGAAGGGCAGAATCAGTAGACCTTCCCGGAGTATATGCATGCTGATTTGGATGAAGTGGGTTGTGAACATCTCTTATGTACCGCTCACATAGCCTCTCCATGGTTTTTAAGAAAAACGATGT